TTCACAATATTCATTGAGAATTTGAAATTTTTTCCGAGAATGCAATGCGATGCGATTTCTCAACACGACTAACAAACGGAAAATGCGGAAGTGGCAACAATGAATTTGGATACATTCAATTGAAAATGCGATATCGCTTATGTGAATGTGAATGCAAGTGATCAGTCATCTCACAAATCAGTTTGAAGAGGGTTTTGGTGTGCGATTTCAGCGAATCGACTACGATTGTCGAAATCGCTCGGGCTTGCGATACCGATCGATGGGCGATCGTAGTGATACGTGCCTTGCTCTGACCTCTCGACCGTATAACGTATATTCCCGTCGTCGTATTTATTCTCACCTCTCGTACGACGTTCCACAAGACATACCACAATCAGATAACATATTGCCGAGAGTGCAGTCAAAAATGCGAATATCTGCAAAAAATTGCAAAAAAAGGAATTGCAAATGAAACGAAATGAAATGAAAAGCAACGAAAATCGATGGCAAATGCAAGAGTGGAGATGTTTTCGAAATAAATGTCCTTACGCGAGGAAAAGAAAACTGTGAAGAATTTGGAGCAGAGAAAAATTTTTCGAAAGATTTATAAATATTCACCGTTATTTCATCGGTGGTCATCAATTTTGAAAGAAATTTTTGGATATCGTATTGCAATTTCAAAGTTTCAATGCGGTTTCCATTCAGCTTCCAACTGATCAAACGAAAAAAAGATCAATCGTAAAGACAATTGTAAAATCAGAAACTCTGAGGAGGTATTCTATTGAATGTGAATGGAATAAACGGAACCGATGCGACGACGAACGGTTTCGAGTAATAGAACAAATAGCACGTTCCGTATGCCTCTCGCAAGCACACTTCCACTCCGATCGCGAACAAAATTCCGGATATTATCGCTAGCAACAGCACTACACTCATCACTGCGGCACGCTGAATCAGACTCTTTCAAGAAATATTCAGTTTGTGAATTCTATACATATACGTATGCTCATCACGAATCAAAGTCTATTCAGAAAGGTGAATTCAGAAAATTTGAATTATGAATTCATGAAAGATAAAGTATCAATAGTGTCAATTGATAATGACA